GTTGGTATTCCTTCCACGCTTGCGGCCACCGGGTGTTGAAGCAGGGGAAGACATGGTTGGTGTGAGATCTGGGCAGAACATGGATTAAATAACGCAATGTACCTCATGCTGTTGTTTTCTTTACGTGCTGTTTTTTTAACATAAGATGAATGACATATTTGGGGTATTTCATTCAAATTATATTTGCATAGTCATATTTTTAATGATTTCCTCAAGGAGGTCAACTGAGAAGCTGCAAGTATGCATGGAGAAAAACTTTGCAGTTTTATTTTGCATTCTCACAGGTTGAATATAAATCTAAAAAAAAAAAAAAACCAGATAAATAGTTTAGCAGTGTTAAAGCACTGCCAAAAAACTCGGGATTTATCTTTGCACATATAGGATTTTCTTTTCCAATAATTAACGAAATACTTAAAGGCAAGCATGACAAAACGTACAACTTGCAAGTCAAGTAAAAGTTTATCTATATAGTACCTTTACAACAGCTTCAGCTGACCAAAGTGCTTCACAGCAAACAACATCACACGTAGATAAATTACAAAATAGAAATAAAATTAAGTTTCGCTTATATAGCACGTCGATCGTTTAAACCTTGAATGTTTTGGATAAACATACAGAAAAGTTTTCATACTTAGTCGTTAAAGTGGATTAAACGACTAAAGCTTTTTAACACGGAGGTATTTCTTGCTCTAGCAACACTTCGGCCACCATTTGGCATGTGGCTCCAGGGAGACAATACCCCATCTCACTTGCTTTCGGCTTTAAATATCGCTTTATACAAAACAAACCGCTCCGTTTGCATTCAGGTCAGCTCGCCTAACAAGCCCCACTGCGACGAACCGGTCATAAAAGCTGCTTACCTTTCAAAAAATTGACGAATTTGTTGTTTTCTTACCTCTTCTTGTACAGGCGTCTGACTGCTACAGATGTGGCGCGAAATTGTGTGTTACGTCATTTTCGCGGGGAACTTTCAGCCAATCACAAACCCTGAATGCTCTGCAGTTTCCGGCTTCCTAAGTAAGTTCAGTTTATGGTTGGAGGGGTGGGTGTCTTGAAGAGGGATTTATTTTGTAACTTTTAAATAAAACGTATGCGGGTTTTTTTTCTTCCTAAAAATACATAGCATTAGTTTGAAATGTCTACTATGCTTATATTTAGTGCTAAAGTAATGTTACGGAATGTCTTGTATGCACTGATAGTCCGGGTTGGTTTGGTTCGGTCCAACAAGTAGAAGCCCATTTTCTGCTTCCGCCATGTTATTATAAACACAAACATAAATGTCAGATCATCAAAATTAAGGCAACATTAAAGCGATAAATCACTGAAATAACTCGGGCGTAGTACAAAAAAAGGCTATAGTGCTTTACAAATTTTAACCATTTCTGCAATATATTTTCATTTATAAAATGATTTATTTTACGACTGAAGTCTTAGTTGTAAGCCCTGCAATCAGTTTTATGAAATAAGATGTGTAAGTTTAATTGCATAGAGTCTAAACCTATGGAGAGCCATTTCAGCCAAATAGGGAAAATAAATAATGAAAAATGGATAAATAAAAAATAGATAAATGAAAAAGCATAAATGAAAATGCAAGATGCCAGGGCTTCCAGAGCAACCACACACATTAGAATCCAGCATGCTGGATTTATTTATTTTACCCATTTATTTTATTTATTTTTTTACTCATTTGTTTATTTATTTTACTCATTTATTTATTTAATTTAGGCTGAAATGGCTCTCCATACTTCCAAACCAATTCAGTGACACTGCCTCACACTTTTTCCTACAAGCTCTCAGCCCTAGGCATGGGTCATTTACATTTGAGAAGAAACCACACCCAGCAAAAGAAGGTTTCGGTCATCCCACCCCACACCCAACACAAAGGGAGAAATGACAAACCAAATGCCCCCAAGACTAAAACCGGGTCATCTACATCCCTTCTCTGCACATGTTGGGTGTTGGGGGAGTTTTAGTTTGTCACCTTTAAGACAAAATGAAGTAAAGAAACTGCATTTTTAAAATAAATAAATAAAATCAATGCATTTTAAGTTGCTTAAAAATAAGCAAAGAAAGGAAGGTCTGAAGTACTGACATTTAATAAACGCGTGTATTTTGCTCCTGCAGAAACATCCTGCAAATACAAACATTCACCACCATGAGGTGCAGTTTCCATGCTGGAAGTGAAAGGGAGAGAGGAAAAGTACCAAACATCCTAAATGGAAAAGATGAGAAACATTTCCGAGAAGTTGTCAGTCCATGTGTGACTTAAGGGCACCTCCTAGAGAGACCACTGGTCATAAAAGATGATCAAAAACATGTCTTTTATCACTTTTTCTTAGCAATGTTTGACGCAATGCCTCCTAATGTCCTACTATGAATCACACAGAAAATATCTAAAACTAATTAGGTTTGTTTTTTGTTTGTTGAGTTATTTCTCTGAACGTCATGTTTGTAATATTTTTTAAGAAATTCTACCTGAAAGTACGGTTCATTCAACAATTTTTTTTTCAGTTATAAAAGCTTAAGAAGAATTGAAAAGTTTAGAAAATATTGTGAATTCTTTAAATGCCTCTCAGACCTCTTTTTTTTATGGGAAACATTTTGACTTCCAAATTGAACATTTCCAGTTTCACTACTCAGAGCGAGGCAACAACAGAGGTTTCCTGTACTTCTGATACGGTTTTTACTTGCATGTTAACATCACACTTTTTTGTTGCGTCTTTGTGTGAGAGGACTTTTACTGTCCTTGAAAATCATCAGAATACTTCCTCTGCCACATTTGGAGACGGAAGCTTATGTTCCTTTTGACACGTTCCAACCAGTCAGCGCATATCCTGCAGTATGTAAACAGCCCAGTATCATAAGACCATTGAAAAAAATAATAATAATAATAAAAGCATGTTGCATGGGAAATACGCCTCCTGCCTCTTCATGTGGAGGACTTAGAAATGATCTAACATGCATGAAGCCGAATTCCTCAGTCAACTGTATTTCACAAAGCGACTGATAAATTTGAAAAGTTATACCCGGAAATTGTTTGTCAATTTAAATTCACAAAAATCTCATGCTGATTCATTTGATACAAATCCTGCAAATCTTTCCTTTATGTCCAAGGCCTTTTAAACTTTTACTTCACCATATGAAGAGGAACTGAAGTTTGTTCTAATATTTTGAAAGACAATAATTTAGCTTTTTTATATGATTAATAAAGAGAGACTTTCCAGTTATTTCAATATTTCAAGTGAACCATAGCATCATTTGAGTCAAGATGTATGAGTTGAAGTTCATTTTAATGACTGGCGGGTTACAAGAAAAGAAGCACCACAATTCTAAGAGTTACATAAAGTCATTTATTGAAGATATTTAAATACAGAAACAAATTAAATCATTTTAAAATAATTATGTAATTAAGGCCATTGTGTTATGGAATACGCAAGACTGCTGACTCAACAGTTGTCCAGCCGAGATAATGAAACACTTGACTTGACTGGTATCATAACTAAAGAGGCTCGCTGATCACGAAGTGTTTAATTCAAGCTTATTAATGGAAAATAAAGTGGAAGGATTGGCAGAAAAAGGGACGCGGACTGTAGCTGGCCACAGGGCTTCCAGAGCAACCACACACATTAGAATCCAGCATATGGGCTACAAATGGTGCATTCCTTGAATTAAGCCACTTAAGAAGTGAACTTCTTGCACAAGGGAGAAGAAAGGCCGGTATTAAGGGGTCTGAAGTTCTCTAATGTGAAAGTACATTTTGAACTGAGTCTGAAGAAAGAGTGAAGAAGCATAGAATCGTAAGTTGATTAAGGTTCAGTTTAAAGTTTCCACAGTCAGCAAATGTTTGGGCAACCATGTCATCTGCTGGTACTGGTCCACTGTTTTATGAAGTCCAAAGTACAACCATTACCTGGAAATATTAGAGTACATCATGTTTCCCTCTTCCGACAAGCTTTATTGAGACACTGATTTAATTTTCCAATGGAACTTGGATCGTGGCCAGCGGATCACTTTTGCCAAAAGTACCAATATCTAGTTTAATGGTCCCACAGTCCTTGGCAGGCCAGCAGACCTGCCTGACCTAAACTCTATATCTAATCTCAGCATTGTCAAGAAGGCAACCTGGACTTCCTGAATGCCCCATGTCTCCATACAATGCCACACTGATTATGCAATCCATACTATTAGGAGCCCCAGTTAATTGTTGAGTGCATCTAAAAAAATATTCTTCCCACTGGTATTTAATTTTCTGATATTAATCAGCCGTATGGTATAATCATCACAAGTCTGCAACAAATACATATGTAAAAACTGTAATGAATACACTTTAGCTGCAAAAAAAAACAAAACAAAAAAACAACAACTACTTTTCAATATGGTCTGTAAATGAATCAGCTGATTCCTCGTCATGTGTACATTTCATAAACCCTGTTATGATGATAAGATGTTCTGCCAGAACTAAAGTAAACATCAGAAAGCTGAACACATGTCAGGACCCAGTTGCGCTACAATAATTTTTGCTATGTTGAAACAAGTGAAGATGTTCTGCTGAAGGGCAATGAATGGAGAAATGGGATGGGAGATTCAGAGAATTGTTTGTCTCCTTCAGAACCGTCTTCACTGTTCTTTGTAAAACATGCAGGGTATAAGTAGTTGCCCCTCCCTGGCTCTGACTAAACTTTTTCTATCTCTCTCTTTTTTTCTTTTTTCTTTTTTGCATCACTACAGCAATAATACTTTTTTTGTAGCTGAATAATTCCTCTGCCAATTTCCTTGGTGATAAATTTAATCCTGTTCCCAACAGCCAGAGCACATCCTGCACTATGTAAACAACCCTGAACCATTCATACGGTCATAGTAAAAAGTGGGCGGTGTGAGCATCACGCCCCCTACCTACTCAAACGAGGTACCACGTGACCCGTGTTTGGATTTCAGTGGCTCGTAAGAGGGCGGCGTGTGTGACGTCAGCAGGGAACGATACAAAACACTCCGCGAAACTAGCGCTGCCTCAGAGAAGTGACAGTCCGCTAAGATAGCACTGACAGCATCCTGACAGTCAAGGTGCAGGAACAAGAAAGCCATCCGAGATTTTTATTTACTTGAAGAATTGCAGAGAGAAAATCTGCAAGGTTGTCGTGCAGCTGAGTTGCCACAGCAGTGGGTTACTTTTTTTTTTTTTAAAAAAGTTGTGTTTGTTTTTTTTTTTTAATTCTCTAACCACGTGGACAAGCCAGCAGGGTTCATGTGTGATATATACAGCCTGGACTCTCACTGCGTGTCCCCACAATGCAACATGAGTTGGGCGATGGAGCCTGCTAACTTCTATGAGAGCAACAAGCTTGGGGGGCCGCAGCAGGGGGTCTCAAAGCCGGGCAGCAGGGCTGACGGCGTGGGCGAGGAGAGCACCATGGTGGAGCTGAGCACCACCACTCCAGCCATGTACGACGACGAGAGCGCCATCGACTTCAGCCAGTACATCGACTCCATGACGTCGGTGCCGAACCTGGAGCTGTGCAACGACGAGCTCTTCCTCGACCTGTTCAACACCGTGAAGCAGGAGAAGCCGGACTTCTACAACCTGCAGAGCGCCGTGCTGTCCGGCGGCATGATGCAGCAGCAGCTGTCGGCTGTCTACGCCAAGCAGGACGGCGCGCCGGAGAAGGGGGCGTTCTGCGCCCCGATCAAGCAGGAGTCCGACTGGAGCGACAGCGACATGTCCTCATCCCTGCCCTCCCAGATCGAGACCTGCGCCCAGACCTCCGTCAGCCTCCCCACGGGACAGCCGACTCCGCCGACCACCCCGGAGCCCGTCTCCGCCAAGTCGTCCCCGAGGAAGATGGGCAGGGAGAAGGGAAAGAAGTCGGTGGACAGGTTCAGCGTGGAGTATCGGCAGAGGCGCGAAAGGAATAACATTGCGGTGAGAAAAAGCAGGGACAAAGCCAAGAGGCGCAACTTGGAGATGCAGCAGAAGATGATCGAACTGAGCAACGAAAACGAGAAACTCCACAAAACCATCGAGCAGCTAACCAGGGAGCTCACTGGGCTCCGAGAGTTCTTTAAACAGATGCCCAGCGCCTCGTTTGCAGGCTCGGCGAGCTCAGAGGGCCGGTGACACACTTTTTTTTAATCTTCTATGAACTGTGAGACTTTTAGAAGACATACCTCAACAGACACTTGTCTTTACCATCTGTACCAGATGTATTAAGCTTACCATAATGGCACTGGAAAATATGTTGTTGCTGCCATATTTTTTGTGGGATTGTTTTCTCTGTATTAAATTATTTTACCACTGCATTTACATGATGTCATACCTGATATGGTACATGTTTTATAATTTCTAACTTTGTATAAGAGCCAGAGCATGATCTTTTATATAGTTTGTATAAAACCTTGAAAATGTGTTTATAAATCTGTAATAAAGAAACAATGATAAAGTGAAAGGATTGTGGTCTGTGAGCAGTCTGTATGAAAATTGGTGTTAAAGGAAATGCAGCAGGAAACACAAAGCAAAGTCAGCAAAAATAAGTCATTTTATTGGCAGAGTCAGTGTTTTTTTTGTTGTTTTTTTCAATACAGAGGTAGAATAGTTGGAAAATAATTCTTTTAAAGTCAAAACTCAGACTCATTCACAGTTAATGATCCACATGGGCTGGTTTGACAGCCTGCATGCCACTGGTCTACCCTTGGGCTGTCAACTCCTGCTGCACAGGATCACATATCATTAACACAAACAAGACCTTGTCTTTTTTGCAGCCCCCTTCTCTTCAGAACAGCCTCAAGCTGTCAGAGGAGGCCTTCGGAAGGGGGAGTGGAGGATAAACTGGCTCAGACCAAGGCCCAGTGTGCAGATTGCTGGAGGCAGTCAAAGTCTGAGGCTTGCTATCAGCAGGCTTGGAGGCAGATCTCTTCCAGGCCCATCCACAGGGCAGGCTTCCTGGTGACGACTCGGACATAAACGGCCAAGGGACCCACCTCTTTTCCCAAGACGCTCTCCACATCGTACCCTTGGAGCTGAAGCAAACGATCATGCAAATCTCTTAAGATGCTTTTAATGCGCGCCTATTGAAATGAAGTATGCATGTAAGATTTGAATTATTCACATCAGATAAGTACAAAAGTGGCGATTAAAAACTGTCCGCGCAACTCATGCACGAGGAAAAGCATTAAAGCAAACACTGGGATTACAATGCTTTTCATTGATGAGGAACAGCTTCTCCACCTGCAGTTTATGTAAGAAATGGATAATGACACCCAAATCTATAAACCGCATGCAAACTTCAAATCCCCAAAAACAAAAGAGAGGGTGGAGGATTGTGTCACAAATCTGGCTGTGAATGGTATCAATAACCAGCCAGTCATTTCACTCAACAAAGAAGAGCTTTTATCAGTTACAGGAACAGATGACTGTACTTTAAAGGATATATTGACATTAAAAAAAAAAAAATCTGTGCACCTTCTATCTTAGCTCTGACTTATGTAACAGCTTGATAAGTAAACCTACCTCACTGCTTTCCAGCACGGGCGTGTTCAGGATCAACATGATCGTCTTTTGCTGCAGCTGTCGGAGAGATTAGAACATGCTGAAGTCAATAATGCCTTTTTAATTATCGCCGCTGCATTGTAAATGAGAAAAAGAAATGCTGCACCAACAGACTGCGGTCTCTCTGCTGGTTTATGGTTGGAAGGGGTTAAAATATGAGTAGGCTGATAAGAACGCTGATAACTTTTACTGGTCGTCTCACTGAACTGTGCATAGCTCTCTGTCACTGAAAGACCTCTGCACAAAGCTACGTTTATCAAGACTTTGTTTTACAGTGCAGAACTCAAACGCTTTATGAGTAACATTTATGGAGAGGTGACATGGTATGATTCAGTGTCTCACTCATGGGTTACAACAGGACAGATGATTGTCTGGTCAAAGGTTTAATCTACACTTCTGCCATCATGTGCTGAAAGATTTTAAAATATATACGTGTCTTTTCTGCCAAAGACAGCAGGTTCAGATTTACATAAAATTCACGTTGTTGAATCAACATTAAAAAAAATAAATAAATAAAAATGTGAATTTTTCAAAAACTAAAAGGAGAGCAGTGCACTTATATTCAGTCCCCTTTAATCCTTTATACCAATAAATAAAACCCATCGCAACTAATAGCCTCCCAAAGTCCCATAGTTACTAAAAGTTCATCTGTGTGTGATTTAGTCTTTGCATAAATAAAACTGTTCTTTGAAGAGAACATTAGCAAACAAACAGCATCATGACGTTCAGGGAACACAGCAGACGGGTCAGTTGAAAGAGAAAGTTGTGGTACATTATAGTAAAAAGTAGGAATGGCACCACTGTAGCCCTTCTGAAGGATGACTGACCACCTAAAGTGAAAGGCCACCCAGCTGCAGCACTAATCAGAGTAACAGCCAAGATGGAGATAATTCTTTAAAAGAAAACTACAGGCACGAAGAATATGTCAACATGTAAACAATTAGTAATGCTACCATACTAGTCATGTCCTCACTCAAGTATAGCCTATCCTAGAACAGTGCCACGAAGAAAGCCAATTGTTTAAAATGAGAAATAAGAAGTCACATTTAAAGTTTGCATCCAGCCAGGCAGGGGACACAGCAAGCATGTGAAGTTTCTCTGGTAAGATTTGTGGTGGAAAACTGACGTTTATTTTGGAGCCACTATAACTTCAGGCAGGGGTGGAGGTTGATCGTCTAACAAGACAATGTTACTAAATGCACAAATTTGCAATAAAAGAGCTTGGATTGAGACATTTTCGTGTCTTCAAATTCTCCAGTCAGTTTTTCAGACTCGAGTTCAATTTACAGTCTGTGGAAAAACTTGAAAATTACTGTTTACAGACGCGCTGCATGTGCATCTGAGCTATTTTGCAAAGGAAAATAGCTCCTATTTTCCTTTGCAAGCATTTAAACAATTTGCATGCAGTTTCAAGCTATACAGATCTGATCAGACATTTCCAAAAAGACCTCCACTGCTGTTAATAGTGGTTCTAAAGTAGATTCACAAGTTTTGTAAAGGGTGGGTGAATACATATGCACAACAGACTTTTCAGATTTGATTAAAACAGAAAGAAAATTGCGGTTGTTATGACAAAATGTAAAAGTGTTCCTAAGTTATGTACACATTTAAAAAAGACAACTGCTTAGCAAACAGGTAGAATAAGCTAGTTCACTATGATCAATTCATGACAAAAATAAAAAAATTTAAAAAATCAGCGAAGCCATTAAAATCAGTTTAAGCAACAGCGAGGAAAAAAGAGAATCTAAAATGGCCGTTACAGGCGACAAAAAACAGCCACCATACTTGAAGCGAGGACTTTGCCGGAAATGAATACCTCTCAGATTGAGACACCTCAGCAGTCATTTTCACTTCAAATGGAGGGTTAATGCAGGTGTTGCAAGTGACTTTAAAGAAAAGTCTCTTATTAGCTTAAAGCGTTTTAGTTAACGAGATTAGCAACACCTGCGCGTACCAACCGCCTCATGTCAAGTGGCTTTAATGATTTTAAGACAGATAACGTTTTGTAATAAGGAGGCAGGAACTTAACCTGGACTATGTACACAGCGACATGTAAAACAAACGTTCAAGCTATTAGTGGCAGGTCTGGGTGAGCGTCTTCCTCTGTCTTTCTAACACTCGCCCACCTCTCCGTACATTTCCTCAATTTAGCCCTTAACGCAAAAAAGAAAGTTTTTTATCAAACAATTTATCAGGATAAATAAGACCAAATCTGTTTGTTGTTCATGTCTTGTGTTTTATAAAACAAGTTTGACATATTTTTGGATAAAATTCACACTTTGTTGAAGAATCTAAATCAGAGAGAGAATAAATGAGATTTCCCTGCTCCTCTCAATCCAAGTCAGTCTTTGCATAAAAAAAAAAAATATGAAAAGAAACACATTTAAATGGCTGCCATTCTTTCGATGCATTATTTTTTTATGATGGATTAAAAAAAAAAAAAAAACTGTACAGGAAATTTAAAAGTCACTCAGGATGCAACCAAAATTCAACTTCTTTTTTCACCCAGTGAGAAAAACATGGTAATGCTCACGTCAAAAACAACCACCAGTTTTTAGCCGTCATTGCTTTCATGGTGCAAAGTAGACAGGTTTGTATGTTTAGTTTTTCTTTCTTTCCAGGTAGAATTATAAATTATGTTCATGGTGTTGGTTGCCAGATATTTTCCCTGATAGTTCAGCAACATCAATGTAAACTTAATTTTGTCATAAGACATTTATATTTTCCGTCTTAGTTCTTTGATGTTCCTACCTTAACTTTTAAGGTGCAGTTGCCCAACGAGGAGGAGCTGAGGAAAACCTCCAGCTGAACCTTTGTGTCCGGCTTGTCCAACGTCGATTTACAGGAAATGCAGTGGAAGTTTTGACTGTAGAAAGAAAAATAAATAAATGAGGTGGAGAACTCTCACTATGAGAAAAATGACATTTAGTGTGTTAAATAAGAACTTACGGCTTTTCGGCTGACACCTCTAAGTTGTCACTTCCACAGAGATTGCAAGCTGGCCAAGAATAAGCTGTATTCTCATCTACACCAACTATCACCCCTGATACACAGAAATAAAATGACAAATTTACATTTATGGCCAATGAATGGTTTGGAACGTTCAGAAAAATACATTTGCATTGCCTGTTTCTTTAAAGCTAAGCAAGAACATTGATAGACAATCTAAGCATTGGTTTTAATGTGTTTGTATGTTTATGACGGGGTGTAGGAGATAACGACATCCTTTTCATTTTTAATCGAAGATGGCAGCGATAAAAGCAGCAGAAATGTTCTCCCCACCTAAAAGCAACTCACTTCACAACCACAGCTGCTGCCTAACACTGCAAACATGGAACCTTAAACAGGATACCAAATGCAAAAACCGATAAGAAATTATTCGACTTTCTCTTTTGAGCTCCCCCCCGCCCCACCCCTTCCCTCTTTCTTTGCTCATAATTTCCAGAAGGTACGATTTGTGCACAAGCACAAACAGTGTGTTTTATTTTCATTCAACCACCTGATCAAACACGGACGGCCGGAGAGGCCAGCGTTGAGTGGGTTCACGATGTGATCTTTGCTCTCAGATGTGACGTGAAGGCAGCAGATGCAGATTTTGATCTGCTACAGGGCTTCAAAACCACATTTACATAATTAGAAACCAGGAAGACGTTATGCAGCATTTCAGTGGGATTTGAAGCAGATGACTAGGAAGACTGCAACACAATAGAAAATCTTTTCTTTTACTATATGAGCAATTGCAGTAAGTGTGGCTAATAATTGATGAGAGGAAACATTGAAAAAGGATTATAGCGTCAAACTGATACTGCTTGAGTCCAAAAAGAAATGAAAGATTTACTGAAAACTAACTCATTGTCACAACAGATGTTCAAACAATCATGGGGAGCACATATGCTTATT